TGTATTTATCATTTACGTGTGTCGTATCGAACTGTTGATTGGACTCCGCTCTTCTAACCGTCGGTTGTCTAATGTACTGACTCCCACACCAAATGTTTCTCTCACATGTACTATTACATATATCTATCTCTAACACACACACACACACACACACACACACACACACACACACACACACACACACACACACACACACACACACACACACACACACACACACACACACACACACACACACACACATATCACCAGGTAGCAGCCCGTAGCACCTGTACTAACTTCCAGGTACCTATTTCCTGCTAGCTGAACAGGTGCACCAGTTAAAGAAACTGTGTACATGTGTATATGTGAGCGAGCCCTGCATCAGTACAAAGCACAAAATGAAAGTCTGAAAGCAACAACTCAAACCAGACTTGAGGATCCTTGACCCCATGGTAAATCCTGAGCGACGTCGACGGCCCACAAAAACCCTCCAGGGACAAGCCTCGCGCGGGAGAAATCTTCGTGTACATCACACACTTCCATCATGGCCGCTTTGCTTCCATTTGCAACATACTTTACGCGCTTCGAAGCCTCACGTCCGAGGTTATTATTCATATAAACAACCTCTTAGAGCTTCGAAGCTCGTCAACTGTTTAATAAATGTTGAGATATGTAAAGGGGCATTATTGAGGAAAGATGTGGAGGCCCTCGTAAGTGGTTGGGTAAATTACTTGATGAATCCTGGGGCCACAGGTCTTAAGCTTCGAGGCCTAACTTAAGAGTCATCTAAATAAATATAACTCACATTCTGATAGGTAGTTGTTTATTGGCTTCAGGTGGCCCACCTGAAGTCAATGAATGAAGGCTTCAGGTGGCCCTGAGATCAAGAAGGCTTCAGATGGCCCTGAGACCAGGAAGGATTTAGATGGCCCTGAGACCAAGAAGGCTTCAGGTGGCCCCTGAGACCAAGAAGGCTTCAGATGGCCCTGAGACCAAGAAAGCTTCAGATGGCCCTGAGACCAAGAAGGCTTCAGGTGGCCCTGAGACCAAGAAGGCTTCAGGTGGCCCTGAGACCAAGAAGGCTTCAGATGGCCCTGAGACCAAGAAGGCTTCAGGTGGCCCTGAGACCAAGAAGGCTTCAGATGGCCCTGAGACCAAGAAGGCTTCAGGTGGCCCTGAGACCAAGAAGGCTTCAGATGGCATTGAGACCAAGAAGGCTTCAGATGGCCCTGAGATCAAGAAGGCTTCAGATGGCCCTGAGACCAGGAAGGCTTCAGATGGCCCTGAGACCAAGAAGGCTTCAGATGGCCCTGAGACCAAGAAGGCTTCAGATGGCCCTGAGACCAAGAAGGCTTCAGGTGGCCCTGAGACCAAGAAGGCTAGTCATCTAGGACCCTAGTCATCCACCGGGACCCTGGCCATCCACTGGGACCCTGGCCATCCACCGGGACCCTGGCCATCCACCGGGACCCTGGCCATCCACCGGGACCCTAGTCATCCACCGGGACCCTGGCCATCCACCGGGACCCTACTCTTGCTCTGGAGTTCTTGTGTCCAGCAACAGGAAGTGGAAGAGACCGCCCGGCGCCCGCCACACCACAGGGCGGCCGCCGGGAACCTCTGTTTTGTCTTGAGAGAGAAGGCCAATGTTATCCGCCTGATTCAGTTGATCGAGTTTACGTCGATGATTGGAATTTGGTTGACGGGGAGAGTGTGTTTGGTTGACGTTTGTTTAGTGAGATTTTTGGACGAGTTTCGGTTTACATGTGATGAACATTTGATAATTTTTTGGGGGAATTTTTAGAGGAATGGTTTTTTGTTTTAAGTAATGCCTTCTTTGTTTGGTTTATAGGTCATTAGAGTTGGTCTTGTGTGTCGTATTGTTCTTTTCTTTCTTTAAACATGTTCTTGATATTTGATAGTTGTAGGTGTACTTTAAGAATAATGAATAACATTTAAGACTGATCTGTTATCTAGCCACAGTACCTATCACTTGAAGAACACTGAATAATATTTAAGATTGATCTGTTATCTAGCTAGAGTACGTATCACTTGAAGAACACTGAGATTGATCTGTTATCTAGCTAGAGTACGTATCACTTGAAGAACACTGAATAATATTTAAGATTGATCTGTTATCTAGCTAGAGTACGTATCACTTGAAGAACACTGAATAACATTTAAGATTGATCTGTTATCTAGCTAGAGTACGTATCACTTGAAGAACACTGAATAACATTTAAGATTGATCTGTTATCTAGCTAGAGTACGTATCACTTGAAAAACACTGAATAACATTTAAGATTGATCTGTTATCTAGCCAGAGTACCTATCACTTCAAGAACACTCAATAACATTAATGTTTTATCTGTTATCTTGCTGCAGTTCGTATCACTCGAAGAACACTGAATAACATTACTGTTTGATCTTGAAGAACGTGACAAGCTGTGATCATAACAATGCCATTTACAAGTAATTTCAATCTTAGATTGTAATTATTTTTGTGCTAATAGTTAATGAAAATATTTTGATAAATATTATACTTTTTAAAGCTGGCAATTTGGATTTTATATTCTCCGTGTTAATGAATATTAACAAACATAAAGCGTCAAAAACTGACAGAAGATTTAGGCAACAGCAAATTACTTTAATTGCAAATGAGTTTCACTGTTGATATATAAAAAGTAGTTTACATCGAGAGATTAAAACGAAGGATAACGAAGCTAAGTTATCCTTGCTAAAGGGTTTTAGGAATATACCTTGTTTATTGCAGGCGATGAGTCACAATAACGTGGCTGAAGTATGTTGACCAGACCACACACTAGAAATTGAAGGGACGACGACGTTTCGGTCCGTCCTGGACCGATTGGTCAGGAGTCGATTGTGTTTCTAGTGTGTTGTTTATTCAAGTACCTTGTTTATTCCTTGAGGTCAGGCAGCAAGTGCAGAAAGCAATTAGGTCTTGAAGCCAGGTATGCAATGTTCTGAAGCTTTGAAGATAGGAAGACGATGTATTGAGGTTCTGAAGCCAGGTAGATAGTGTACTGAGATCTTGAAGGTAAGTAGTCAATGAACTGATTGAGTCAAATGAAATTATTACCTCGAGAGAGTCCTATTGTTGAAACGTCCAACTCAGAGTTATACCATACTATTATGGGGTATACCATGTCATTAGAGGTTGTACCATGCTATTGTTGGGAATGACATGGTATTATGAGGTATGACATGCTATTCTGGGCTATGACATGCTAATCTGGGCTATGGACATGCTATTCTGTGCTATGACATGGCCAGAATATTCTGGGGTAAGACATGCTAATCTGGGCTATGGACATGCTATTCTGGGCTATGACATGGCCAGAATATTCTGGGGTAAGACATGCTAATCTGGGCTTAAACAGTCGGGTAGTATAGTCCGGTTTTTTCTCTAACTCACAATCGACAATTTTGGCTTTAAATCCCGGGCGGGACAGAAATGATTGGGGGCGTTTCCTCTCGTCCAATGGCGCGATTCACCTGGCAGTAAAGAGGTACAGAGGTGTTAGTCGGCTTGTGGTATGGCATCCTCGAGAGAGAGAGAGCTTTAAAATTTGCCTAATAAGAAGCATTTTCTAACGAATAGAACCATTCCGATTAAAACTACGACCAATTAGATAAGAGGCAGTGTGGCGAACAGCTATAGGCTCGTTTTGTCTCTAACGATATGCTGTAGTTTGAGTTCTTTTGTAAAATCTTTGTATTCCTGTCAGCGTCTCATCAAAACAGAGTCTACGAAACTTCCAACCCCAGGAAGCAGCCCGTGGCAGCTGACTAACTCCCAGGTACCTATTTACTGCTAGGTAAATGCTAAATGGATAGGGGGAGTCCATATTGTGTCCAACATACAACAGTTGTTGTGTCTGACACAACAACAGTCCAACAACCAACTCTCTCTCTCTGACTGGGTCAAGGAAAATTGATTGTTGAACACTTGTCAACCTGACTTATGTTCGAAGCTACGACTCGGGACGCAGGCTCACCATAGCCCGTGCTACTTGCCCCGCTCCTGTGCCAGGTACGTTACGGGCTCACCATAGCCCGTGCTACTTGCCCCGCTCCTGTGCCAGGTACGTTACGGGCTCACCATAGCCCGTGCTTGTTGCCCCGCTCCTGTGCCAGGTACGTTACGGGCTCACCATAGCCCGTGCTTCTTGCCCCGCTCCTGTGCCAGGTACGTTACGGGCTCACCATAGCCCGTGCTTCTTGCCCCGCTCCTGTGCCAGGTACGTTACGGGCTCACCATAGCCCGTGCTACTTGGAACTTGTTCCGAGTAGCTGAATCTATAACAACAGACTCGAGACGTTCTGATTTCTTCCCACGCAGCCTATACAGTAAACCAAGGTGACAACAGCACCCAACTACCTAACCTATCTTGGTCTAACTGCAGATATCCATAATATTGAATAACATTAGCATTTGAGGAAGCTTAGTCATTTGTAATTACACCTTCTGGAAACTGTTATCTTAGCTTGGGGATCGAATGAATGTTTTTGGTGCGTTTGTCTTGGGTGAAAGATGAGAACGTTTGTGTATAATGACTACGGAGCAATATGTAAAACTGTCATATATTGCAACAAATAATTAGCTGTCATAAAATACAATTCGTGTATTTTATGTGTATAAATCCATGGTTTATTCACATCATATTTTTTTCTGCCTGGGCCACACTAGCTGCTTGATCCCGTACAGCGATCATCATATGCTGACTGCTTGCTGGTGTTTGCCAACTTAAAAGTTATCCCTAAACGAGAGGGGGAGAGAGAATGTTACATTCACATACACATAGCAGACACAAGGACGGAATTGAGATAACTGTGCGCTAGACCTTTATGAATGAAGACATGTGTTCTTAACCTTCAAAGGACATACTTCCAGAGGTGTTCTAAAGACAAAAAATACAGGTTCTAGTCCCCCGCTTGATGAGGGCGTGTGTGAGTGTGTGTGCGTGCGTGTGTGTGCGTGTGTGTGTCGGGGGCGGGTGAGTGAGACATATATAAGCCGCGGCGGGAGGCTGGTTCCTCACAGTCTCACCACTCTCTCAACAGACAACAACATGAAGTTCCTGGTAAGATTTTCCAGCGAGCAACGCTCCAGTTATTTGTTACCTGGAAAATAGTGACAGCCAGTTAGTGTGTGCGGGCTTGATCCAGTGGCGGTATGAACAAATCCACAAGGGCCGTGACGAGGATTCGAACCTACGTCAGAGAGCATCCCAGACGCTGCCCTAATCGACTGAGCTACGACATGGTCAAAAAAGAATTGCGACCATATGTTCTACTGAACTTACTTGGCATCTTGATCTGAGCGGCTGGTTCAGGTTCTGGACCTGACGGAAGGAAGCAAGTGATATGCCACCCTGAGGACATTAAATGTCTCAAGCTATTTGGCTAACTTAGCTAGCTACCTTTAATGAGTTCATTTATATTATATATATTTTTTATGTACGTTAGTTAGTGGTTGTTTCCCATGGAAGCGTTAGCTATTAGGGAGATGTATGGAGGAGGCGTATTATGCATAGTCCTAAATACCAACGCTTTCCGCGTGCCAGGCCTTGTCTTCCTCAAGATCTGGGACAGCGTTAGGCTCCAGCCGGAAACCTTTTAGATCTTCAGTCAAAACAACAACATGATTAGGCAAATTTTCTTACATTTAATAACTGACCAAAAAAATAAGGCTTTTCATATTGCGAGACATACAGTGACTTCAACAAGCCTTAGATAGTGAGCTCAGCAGAGAGTTGTTCATACAACACACACACCCAACCACTTGGGCTGGACGGTAGAGCGACGGTCTCGCTTCATGCAGGTCGGCGTTCGATCCCCGACCGTCCAAGTGGTTGGGCACCATTCCTTCCTCCTTCCTACCCATCCCAAATCCTTCTCCTGACTTTGTGGCTTATGTAAAATTTGTTTACCATACAGATTTTGTTCGGTTTGGTCGCGGTGTGCGCCGCCCGCCCACAAACCGCCCCGGTTGAGGAAGCAGTTGCTGCAGACCCTGCCCCTGAAGCGCCCCTCGTCGCTGAAGTCCCTGTCGATGCTCCAGTGGAAGTCCCTGCAGAAGTCGCCGCTGACCCCGTCGTCAATGCCGTCGACCCTGTCGTCAGCGTTGATCCCCAGTTCGCGTCCTTCATCTTCCCCGGAGACGAGCCAGCCGTGGTGGCCGCCAAGAAGGCTCACTTCGATGCTGTGAGGCTCGCCCTCGGCCGCCCAGCCCTTGTCTCCGTCGTGGCTGAGGAAGCTGCTAATGTTGTAGAACCCGCCGCTGAAGCTGAGGTAGCCGCTGAAGTTGAAGCCGAAGCTGAACTCAAAGCCGCAGCTGAAGCTGAAGCCGGTGCTGAACTCGAAGCCGCAGCTGAAGCTGAAGCCGGTGCTGAACTCGAAGCCGCAGCTGAAGCTGAAGCCGGTGCTGAACTCGAAGCCGCTGCTGAAGCTGAAGCCGCTGCTGAAATCGAAGCCGGTGTTGAAGCTGAAGCTGCTGCTGAACTCGAAGCCGCTGCTGAAGCTGAAGCCGCTGCGGAAATCGAAGCCGGTGTTGAAGCTGAAGCCGCTGCTGAACTCGAAGCCGGAGCTGAAGCTGAAGCCGCTGCGGAAATCGAAGCTGAAGCCGGAGCTGAAGCTGAAGCTGGCGCAGAGGCTGAAGCTGCCGAGGCTGAAGCTGCCGAGGCTGAAGCTACCGAGGTTGAAGCAGCAGAGGCTGAAGCTGCAGAGGCTGAAGCTGCAGAGGCTGAAGCAGGTGCTGAAGCTGAGGCTGAGGCTGGAGCTGCGTAAGGAGACTATAATCTAAGTCTGTAGATATGTAGATATCTTATCATATATACCAGTCGCAATGTCCTGTTTGTAATCAATTAAATATCAATAAATTTAATTTATGTGGGAAATGTTTTGATTAACCTCCGGGGGGCCCAGCCACTTGGACCTAACAGTAGGGCGCCGAACAGTGCTCTATGTAGCTGTAATCGCTTAATGTCTTCTCTTGATAATTGTTTGACTTCTCTTGCGGTCTCTCTGATGCTGGCAGAGGCCTCGAGTCCCTGATTCTCCTCTTGTACACGTCTGTGGAACATACACAATGTCCACGCCTGTGGAACAAACACAATGTCCACGCCTGTGGAACAAACACAATGTCCACGCCTGTGGAACAAACACAATGTCCACGAAGACGGGAGACATCTCCTGTCACGCAGGGTGCAGTTGCACCTCCACAGATCTCCAGTATCAGCTCTTGATACTGGTAATGGCTCAAAAGGGCCACCACTTACGGGCTATTCATGCCCGTGCCACCTCTTGGGTGGCTTAATCTTTATCTTTATCAATGTCCACGCCTGTGGAACATACGCGGTGAAATCACAATTATGTGATATATTTGTGAGTACAAATACTGAAGAGCCCATCGTATATATATATATATATATATATATATATATATATATATATATATATATATATATATATATATATATATATATATATATATATATATATATATATATATATATATATATATATATATGGACTAATATGTTTCACCTCACGTGTGACTATTCCTACTTACCAACGTATAGATTTAAGACTTGTGAAGATATTAATGTACAATACAGTGCTCAAGTATTTCATGTTTCATTTTCCTTCGTCGTCATACGTTTTCATATTATCGATTACGTGTAATATTAATATGTAAATATGTTCTGCATACTGTTTAGAGTGGGTGGTTGTCTGAGCTACAAGTGTGTATGGAAGTATGGTGTGATAACACACTAGTGTGTGTGTGTGTGTAGGAGTGACATGAGTGTGAGTCTGAGAGGATGATGGGGTGTGCCCTGCCTCCACCACCTCGTCCCCCGTCATCGTCCACCAGGCCTGCTGGGGTGGTGGACGATGTCTCTCTAACTATCCCATGCTCTCAAAATAGTCTGTTTTATTCTGAACTTTCCTTCTTATAACCTGAATTTTCGTGTTTGTTAAATGGTGTGTTTTGTATTCTCTCTCTCTCTCTCTCTCTCTCTCTCTCTCTCTCTCTCTCTCTCTCTCTCTCTCTCTCTCTCTCTCTCTCTCTCTCTCTCTCTCTCTCTCTCTCTCTCTCTCTCTCTCTCTCTCTCTCTCTCTCTCTCTCTCTCTCTCTCTCTCTAATTCATTTCCAAAATTTGTATCCTTAACCGTTCACTTCCTGCTCCTTATAATTTACTAAGTATCAGTAATCCCTCCTTAACATAACTACGCATTTTCCTAGACCACGATACTAAACGTCTCAGCAACATTGATTGAGGCGTGAATAACAGTGTTAAAAGTCTCCTTATCTAACATCTTGCTCCACATTTGAAGACCACGGAGGTTAAGGAAAAGGTCGGAGTGGCCAACCACACAAAAACCGGGAGGCTGAGGCAACCGGGGCGAGTCAGCCTTGACATTTGGCTGCCACCACACAGAAAAACACACACACACACACACCAGCTTCCGTCTTGGTGCAGTAAATCCCCTGAGGAGGAGTGTATGCGGTGAGGCTGATCTTGACGTCACCTTGAAGCCCAGTTATGTCCCCCAGCGTTCACGATATTTATCTCACACTGAAGAAAACTGGAACTGTGGAAAAAAAATTATAAGATGGAAATTGTGACGCCTGTGAGCAACTGAGTGTTGTAATACGCGACGTAGATAGCCATGACAAAAGGAATATCGTCCGACATGAGAATATCGTTCTATGTACATGAGGGTACATATATGAGCTATGTACTCGCATGTACACAGCCCACAACGAAGGTATATCATCCTAAACATGACGTAGATAGATGATTTTGGGTAGCAGAACCGCCAAGCAGGGATAGCATAATTGAAATAAGGGGAAATTTACCTGAGAGCCACTTATACTAGTGGCCTCGATGAGGACAGGAAGCCGGGGGCTTGTCAAAGAGCCAAGACAGCTTACAGCACTCACGCTCTAAGGTGAACTTATAACCAATGAATATCAGCAATTCCGTGTCTTGGGGAGGAAAACAATGAGCGTCGCCCACATACGAAGTGATCCAAACACTGCTTAAAGTCACCCCACACATCTCGGGTCCGCTATCTCCACAGACAAAAACTGGCTTCCGTGTTCGGCATTCCTGAAAGGTGCTTGTGTGTGAGCGCCTTCTGGGACGGGAATAGTCTCATACGACGCAGGGAGGACCATCAGCAGTGGTCCCAGGGTCCCAGGGGACCAGGGTCCCAGGGCTGATCCCAGCTGGGTCCTCAAGGCTACATGAACACACACACACACACACACACACA